TAACTTTGCAAAGAAAGATTGTGTAGAGCTGGGAGATATCTCATTTTAATCAGAAATTTGCGCGCTACAATCATGCCTTATTAAGAAAAGGTTTTGGTTATTTTTTAGAGTTCTTCAAAATTTGGTTTTTCAGAAAATCAGGTCTTCAAGAGCCATGGGTACGAATCCTTTTAGGCCTTTTTACTACCTCAATATATACTATCGATTGGCATATGAGCGAAAGAAAACTGAGTTGAACATCTCAGAGGGTTTCCTCGTTAGCAAAATCCTGGCTACGGGCCTGGAAATGTATAAAAAATATATTTTATGTTTTCTTCATGTTGTAGTTTAATTTATATTTTTAGATTGTCGATTAATCAATCATCGGCACTCTTGTTTATAAAAGACACAAAACTAATCAGTTCACTAATGTCTACATTAAATATAAACTCTAATATGATGAATACAATTGTACAATATATGATTGAAAATCCTTTGTACAAATTAGATAAGCCATCGGTGGTAGAGAAGGAAATTGATTTCAACACCATTGATTAACATATGTCGTTTTTCTCGTTTTTTTTCTTGTTTTGTTTTTCTAATTACTGTTACATTACAATAAAAAACAAGATATAAAAATAAAGCAGACACGCTGTATAAACTCGATATGAAACAATGTTTACTCTAGACTTGTAACTTAATTTCTTTCTTATTGTAGATTAATAATGACGCTCACATTCAATTCGGAGAACAGTAAGTCAATCTAAGATGTTTTTCTTGTGTGAAATCACTTACATATGCTTCATTTTAGATATTATTCTTACCCAACGTTCAGTTCAATTAGCCACAAAAGATTTGTTAGAATCCAATGTTATCCCTTTAGATAAATTGAAACAGTATATAAGAAGACATTCGATTGCAGTTGAATATAAAGTATTTGTTTGGAAACTTTTATTGGGTAAGTGTATAAAAGTATTCTTCCTAATATTCTGTAATAATTATGAATTAATCTATTCTAGGTATTGTATCACCTTACAGAGAAACTCGTTCTTTTAAAGATAATATAAATCATGAAATTTATAGTAAACTACTCGCAACATTGGAAACATGTCGAATTCTTACTCCGACAACACCATTATTACACAAATATTTATACATGTATTTACTGCAAAAAAATAATTCAACTTACCTACCAGTTCAAACTATCGTATGAAACATTATGTTAAATATAACTTTTAACGTTTTTCTTTCTTATTTTTCTTTTTATTTAGAATGAATATGAACATTTTTTTGAAATTGGCAATTTTGTTTGTTTGTTCAATGATAATGATCCGGTAAAAAATCACCGTCAACATACCAATGATCGTCTCGATGTTGAATGTTGGATGATTACATGTTCAATGTATGAAAAATTTTCCAAATTACTCAAACGAAGTGCTCATCTTGTATGTAACTAGTGTCTTCGTACCAATGAGAACATGATAGGACTGGGAGAGTCTGGGATGGTACCAAATCTGAGTCCTTGAAACGTGATCGCGAGTCCTAAGCTCATTTCGAGTCCGATAATTTTTTCAAATCTTTTTGACTGTCGTTATATTTTTGTGTTCTATACCGTATAACACATCACTCTTATTTCTATTCTCCCCGCTACTATATTCTGATACTGTCATCGATTTGACTTCTCTTCTCTGTTTACAAGTGTCTTATTCATTTTTGTCTTACCTTTTCAGCGTTATTATACTAACGAATATGGACGACAAAAATTTGAAACTGAACCAAAACTTCTACTGCATTTAAACACTTATAATGTATTTGAAAATTTACCTTGTAATATATAAAATATATATATATTTATTGTTGTTTTCATCTACTGATGAATATATTCTGTCTTCTAGTTAATTTTTGGTTATCAAATGGTTTTCAGATAATTACCGATGATATCTCATTATTAACGTAAAAAAAATTTTATCGTTATGAAATCGTTATGAAAATACAGGCGTCGATCTGAAAAAGTCGATCTTTGGACTATCTGAAAAATATGTCTAAAAGAGTGAAGATGAGCAGGTGAACCAGTTTGTAGAAAATTGTTTGCTCTACAAGATGCGACAGCTTTTTAAGTTTGAAATTATTCTAATTAATCTGTATTAACCAAAGAAAAATCAGAAAAACTGTGACGCTGTGATAATTCTGACCTTTTTTTTGTTACAACGTCACGGTTTTTCTGATTTTTCTTTGGTTAATACAGATTAATTAGAATAATTTCAAACTTAAAAAGCTGTCGCATC